GTACAAGGAGGTCAAGATGGGTCATCTATTACTAGTACAGATGTCATTATTTCTCCCGAGACCCTGAGCTTGGGTCTCATGGAGAGTGTTTGGAGAGATTGGGGTTGGGGATGAGGCTCGGCAGCCAGGGCAGAGGTAGTGGAAGAAGAGAAGAGAGAGGAAAGCGGTGATGGACTGACCTGACTTAAGAGATTATTAAGAGGGGTCGGATGGTTACAGCCCGGCAGAGCGTCGGCGATAGGGTGCGAGAGTGAGGGAGAGAATATCCGTAAGGTAGTTGGGAATAAACAAAACTAGGACGAATAAAGCGAGTTGCTCCTGTGTGTTGGTGCTATGTATCCTGCAGCGTCGAAGCATGAGACAATAAGGCAAGCAAGCAAAGTGAGCAGGCGAACAGCGAGAAGCAGACTAAGGTAGGCTTCCTAAGCGTGCAAGCAATAGAGAAAGTCGAATGGAGAGTAACGAAGTCGTAGTTGCGGTCGTGGTAGACAAACGGCGGGCTCTCATTCAACGAGAGGAGCAGAAGCAGAAGCAGAAGCAGAGGATGCGGAGGAGACGTGGGGAGAGAGATAGCTTGATCCACGAGGACGCAGGTAGTTGAAGAGAGGATCGAATGGGAAGGGGGGTTTGACTGCAGCGTGAGTGTCGTGGCTCGAATGCCAGCAGCTCTCGATATGCAAGTCTTGGGGGGTCTGACGATGGCCCAATGAAGGGGACGCCAAGCGAGAGAGGTCGTCTACCCGACCAAGTCTCAATGAGCTTCGATCGGGGACCCAGTGAGAGGTGGGCTTTTGTTTCTTGAGGTATACGTAGGCAAGGTAGGTCTAGACGTCTGTTTGCCAAAGGTGACGGGCCGGAAGAGAAGGGATGGATGGTAGAAGACGATAGAAAATTGTTAAAAAATTGCAGTCAGTCGGTAGGCGAGAGGAGAGAGAGAGAGAGAGAGAGAGCAACGAGAAGCACCTCAGGCCAATGAGTGGAGGGGCAGATTATGTGTGTGCGTTGTCGCCGCCCCTCGTTTGTCCTTCCGGTGCCGTTCCCGCCTTTAGCTTTGGGCTTCAAGGCGGTCAAGGGCCAGGGGAGGAGGGAGAAGAACGGGCAAGGACAGGCCGCAAGTAGGAGAGCTGCAGCCAAAAGAAGTCGCGGGGCGGTTTGCAGTGAAGCGGGGGTACTTTACAGGACAGGAGGTTGGGTGAACCACTTCCATTACCTTAGGTACCTGTACTCCCTACCTCCTTCTCCGTATGCTCTACGGATACAACCACTGGGGAACTAAGACACCGCCGATGGTCCAACGGGAGACACCGAAGAGGAAAGAAAGCGGAGAGGGGCAGGAGAAGTCGGGCGGGTCAGCGTTTGCAGGCCGAGACGACCGGCGGGGTGGGGTGGTTGGTCTGCACCTTCCAATGCTCCTCATCACCCAACTTAGGACAAACTGCGTAGGTACCAGGCCATCAACACCACCACCCACCTTCATTGAGGGAAAGTTTGATGCACAAGAGACGAACCAGTCCACACTACAGGAAGGAGGGGGCGAGCAACCATTGTACCATAGTATACCTATCGATCAGCTGGGACCCAACGGGTTCCATCTGATGCAACGTCCGAACGTGCGCTTCCAGAACGCCAACGAACGCCTGTCCAGGACCCGGCCCAACTCTACCTTACCTTAACTTGCCTTACTTACCTTACCTACCATAGGTACGGAGCACCTCCATCGCCATATCGACATCCCTCAATCGAATACCTATGCATACGCGACTACCTTCAGCAAGATCCTCTTTGCTCCGACGATGGGTGCTGTTCTGCCAATGTCCCTACAATGTACTGGGTCATGGGACTAGGCTGGTTGGCTCACCGCATATTGCCCTACCTCATGCACCTCGCGTCTCGATTAGAGCCCGCTGCAGGCGCGCAGAACATGACCGAACAATCCCCTTTCTGTCAGATTATGGACTCGTAGAGAAGCTGTGGCAAGCCATCATTGGTAAGCTGCAGTAGCATTGCCGTACCTCTCTGTCTGGGTCGGTCGAAATAATTTGCCTCACAGTTGGCCCCTCTTGGAGCCGCATCTCAAAGTCGAGAGATGAAGGAGTGACGTCGAAGAGGCTGAAAGGACAAGCGAGCTCCCATTTCCCTTTTCAGTCTTCCCATCTTCCCCAGCCAACTCTACGGGAGCTTACGAGGCAGTGCACGCCGCCGGATTTTATATGTCAGCCTCAGTTTGTTTCCCAATGATTTGGGCACTGGCCAGTTTGACAATCCCGTCCGGTCGTTGATCCTGGTCTCACAACGGTTGCTCCCGCCCCTGCCACATTATGTAATCTCGTCTTCTTATCTTATCGTCGCAGCTAAGTTGAGGCACGTACCTTACCTTACCTCAGATGGGATGGAAGCGTCCAAAATTTCGAGCTCGTCTCATCTGTTCGCATCGCGGGCACTCGGCGACAACCCTAACGGCTGCGATTACAACGACGACGACGATCGGCATCACATAGTGCCGAACGAGAGACGAACATGGCGCCAAGATGTTCGGGTGGGCATACGGTGTTGCTCCCGTTTCTGTACCCCTCTTTATTTTTTTCAAAGAGCACCACCACGCCTCGTCTTGCTGCGAGAGCGGTTGCAAGTAGTCGCCGCCATAGCTCCACCCAGGTAGCTCAAGAATCAAAGTCCACCAGACTCAACCCAGCTCCCGACGACTATTCCCAACCCATCTTCGCCGATAAAGCCTCAGTGACACTTTACGCGGGCCCCGGTGGCCACGGCTGCATCTCCTTCTTCCGCGACGCATACCTCCCCGACGGACCCCCCAACGGTGGCGACGGTGGCCATGGAGGCAACATCTACATCCAGGCTGTACACGGTGAGACGTCCCTGCACAAGTTAGCTAGGCGGCGTTTCATTCGAGCAGGGAAAGGAAAGTCTGGTCAGGGCAGCTCCAAGGGTGGTCAGCGAGGCGAGGACGTCATCATCACCGTGCCGGTTGGTACTGTTGTCCGCGAGCTGGCCAGGGAAGACCCCATTGCCGAGGATGCGATCATGCAGCGCGCTATGAAAGCGCAAAGGAAGGCCGAGAAGAAGGCCAAATTGGCCCGTCAGGCTGAGTTAGCGGAGCAAGCGAGGCGAGAGTTGGAGGAAGGCATTGAAGAGGAGGATGAAGAGATGGCGGCGGAAAGGGAGGCGAAAGCGAAAAAGCAGGCCGAGGATGAATTCGACGAGCCAGAGGACCCCGATCGCAGCAAGTTCCTTCTGTACCCTGGCCTCTCAAAGTCGGATCTGAAGACGATATCCCTTCCCAAAGCCCCTACCCGCCAGCGTCTTTACCATCAACCACCCGGCCCGATCCAGCTCGACTTGTCGCGCCCGTCTCCGCAACCCATCCTACTCGCCGTCGGCGGCATCGGCGGACTCGGCAACCCGCACTTCACGTCGCGCGAGTTCCCGCGGCCCATCTTCGCTACAAAGGGCGAGCGCGCCGTGACTATGGAGATTGAGCTCGAGCTCAAGCTCCTCGCCGACGTCGGGCTCGTGGGGTTACCCAACGCCGGCAAGAGCACCCTGCTGCGCGCCATCACGAACTCGCGCACCCGCGTAGGTAACTGGGCCTTCACGACGCTGCAGCCGAATATCGGCACCGTCGTCTTGGACAGCTACAAGGGCCGCCCCGTGATCAAGAGCTACAAGCGGTATCCCGCCGCGGACCCCGCATACGGCGGCAGCGGATCACCCGGCGCGGAAGAGGAGGTCCTGGTCGAGCAGCGGACCCGCTTTACGGTAGCCGATATTCCCGGTCTCATCGAGGGCGCCCACTTAGACCGTGGCCTCGGCATCGCGTTCCTGCGCCACGTCGAGCGTGCCGGTGTGCTCGCCTTCGTCGTCGACCTCTCCGCCGGTCCCGCCGTCAAGGCTCTCAAGGCCCTCTGGAACGAAGTCGGTCTGTACGCGCAGATGCGCGAGGAAGAAGAGCGCGCGCGCGAGATCGACTCCCGCGTCGACTGGGACCTCAACGCAGGCACCACGAGCGGGGCCGCCGCTCTGCAAGGAACGCACGGCGCCATGATGGTCGCCGACGCACCGCCGGCGCCCCGGCAGGAATCGGGCCTACACATCGCGGCCAAGCCGTGGTACGTCGTCGCCACCAAGGCCGACCTCCCCGAGACCCAACAAAATTTCCGAGACCTCAAGGCCTACCTGGACGAGATCAAGCAGGGCACCGCGCCGCACCCGAGCGGGATCGAAAACGCCTGGACGGACAACGTCGCCGCTATCCCCGTCAGCGCCATCAATGGCCAAGGCGTCGATCGGATTGTCCACTGGACTGTGGGACTACTTGACGAGTAAAAGGGGGGAAAAGACAAGGGAAGAAGAAGAAAAATGTATCATAGCAATTTGTATCACCACCACTGTATAACGCCACTTTTGGAAGAAGCGTACTGTCCTCTTCCTGAGAACTTGCTTCCTTGGCCCAGCCCCTGAAATTGGCATGCAAGTACCTGAATGATATGAATATTTTGTACGGAAAGAGCGAATAGCAGCATGTTGCAAAACTGCCAAATTTATCTGGATTGAATACAGTAAGGCATCCCCGAAACCACGGTAGCACCGAAGGGCTTGTACTATTTAACGAGGAAGGTCCTTCGGTTGCAATCACTAAGCAACTAATGAGGGAATTCACACTCAGATGTTAACAAGAAAGTTTTTGGCATTTCATTCGTAATGACTACTCCGTCTAGGGCGACTCTAATCGCCTTGATGGTGCGGAGGTGCTTCCATCCAACTCATTATCCAGGGTTCGACTATGTGCTCGCAAACCCAAAGCCAGGCAGCAAAAAGAACGAGTTGCTGCTCAACCGTAAGCGGTCGACCTTCCAATCCGTTTCTGCCTCCCAAGGGTACGTCCCCCCAATTTCCAAGTCAACCCAAGTAACCATTAGAATATTATAGGGTGAATAGTGATCATGCTGAGACCCGATCCTCTTCTGCTCTCCACGAAATCCTTACAACATGGCGAGAACAATCGCACCAGCCAGAACAGCAACGCTGAAGGTAGTCGTGGTTGCACTGCTGCCAGGGACAACCGTCGGTCCTGTCGTGGGAACGCTGACGGTTCCATTAGTACCGGGGCGGCCGGTGCCGGAACCACCTCCGGAGCCACCACCGGAGCCAGAGCTCTGAGAGGCAGACGGTGAAGCACCGCCAGTAGCAGTGCCGGTAGCAGCAGTGCCAGTCGCAGTAGCACCTCCGCCGCCGCTTCCACCCGAGCCACCATTAGTAGTAGGCACCACAGTCGAGAGAGTCGTAGCGGTACCAGCGGCAGAACTCTGCTGGCTTGAGCCTGAGCCGGATCCACTTCCTGTAGCAGTAGCCGTTGCAGTTGCGGATGCTGAAGCTGCGCTGCTGGCCTGGGTAGAGGCACTAGCAGACGCGGTGTTTGTGGAGGAGGCCGAGGCCGAGGCTGATGAGCTAGAGCTGATGTTGTCGCATGAGAGGTCGTAGAGAGGCTTGGTAGTCAAGGTCGAGCCAATGACACCGAAGCTGGGGTTGGGTGTTGTTGGAGAAGAGTCCTGGAATGTGTACCACCAGACATTGGTCTTACCGAACATGGGGCAGCCGACGTCATTCCAGAACTTCTTTGCGTTCTCGAGAGATGGAACGGCAGCGCCGACAGTCTTGCCGCTGACGGGCCAACCAGTCTCAGTAACCCAAACGGGCTTCCCACCAACAGCTCCCTGGGTGGCAGCCAAAGCTTCGGCCCAGCGGTCCTTGCCGTCCGAAATGGAGTTGGGCTTGGTGTCCTCGAAGTAGGGGTAAGCGTCCATTCCAATCCAGTCACAGGCATCGATGACCGCCTTGTTGCTGCCATTAACCCAGGCGGTCCATGTGTCGACGTGACCGATAGGGGCACTGCTCAGAGGCGAGTTCTTGATGACTTCTCGGACTTGCTCAAAGTACTTGACGAGAGTGCTGGGCTCGGCACCAGAGAATTCGCCGTTGGCAATGCCGGTAGGCGAGTGTCGGTAGAGGTCCTCGCTGCCGACAGAGATACCAGCAACCAAGCCGTTGAGCTGACTGCCGTACTGAGAGACAGTCTTCTTCAGAGCCTCAAGCTCGTTGGCGAAAGCAGCATCACCGGCAGAGGCCCACAAACCGAGCAGAAGAGTTGTCTTTGTGGAAATGGCGGCGGGAATGGCAGAGATGGGATCATTAGTGCTTCCTCCCTGGACCATGGTGTAGAGACGAGCAGAGGTGAAGGCGCCATTGGTGCCCTCGAGGCTAGCTGCGGTCTTGAACTCGGATTCGAAGTCTGACTGTGCCTTTGCTTTACCGTCGGTGAAGGTAGATCCGTAGTTGAAGCCCTGGAAGGCGCTGGCCGTAGCCGCGGCGTATACAGCCGCCAGGCTCAGAGAGGCGCGCATAGTTGTGATGCCGAAGGAGTGCTTACGATGTTGCAATAGTGACGATGCGATGCAAGGTAGGCGAGATGATGGGAGTTGGCTGGAATTGATGGCAAGGTCCAAAGTTACCGTTGGAGGAGAGACTGGGCACTCTGGGAGGAGTATTGACTACGGGTAAATATACAAGAGCCAGGCAGGTAGGTCCAAGGTATTGCAAAAACGAGAGACGGATGGGTGAGGTTGTCCCAAAGTCCCGTAGGTACAGAGCAGGATGAGGGTCAGATAAGGTATCGTGAGTGACAGTGATGGAAGGTAGGGAGGAAGAAAAGTGATGAAGTCAGTCGGGCGATGAAAGGGTAGAAAAGGGAAAAGGCAAGTGACGGGGAAGGGCAGAGCAGGCAAGGAGGGATTCCCCAGACAGTAGGAGGGATGCTTGTTCAGATCACATCACAAGCTTGGGAAGTTGGGGTGGTGTCCTACAGGGTTCCCTGTTCTTTGGGCCTCTCCATCTTCTTTTCTTGGGAAAGCTCTTCACTCTCGAGTCTCAACAAGAAAAACCTTGAAGGACGGGACGGGTGTAAAAGTCTGAAAGAGGCAAGTAAAGAAGCCAATTGAGTGGTGCCACCACACACCAACTTGACAGCACTAGTGTGTCTCTTCCTCATGCCTTCACTCCATCAAAACAACATCGAGGGCGCCACCATAGGTTCCTGAGAAACAACAACACACAGTCATCGCAGTCTCATGCAGGAACGAGCCAAGGTGAGGTCACTGGTGTGGCCCGTATTCTCTACGCAACAAGTTTAGCACCATACAAAAGTGTGCTATAAGGTATGGTCTTGCCCCTGGAACGACGGTGGCGATGAGGTCACGCCGGGCACAGGGCAAGGCATTCGGGGCAGGCCCGGTCGAAACACCGACCCAATCACGGCTGCCATCCTATTTTACCGGCGTCCCGGGCCTTCCCATTGCTCCCAACTGGGACGGCCGGGTCCCTGCTGGCTTGCCATATTTAGCAGTCTACACCCACTATTTTCTGTCCCCATGTCCCTGTCGCTGTCGTCCGGCCAGGCTGTGGCGCCCCTCCCCCGTATTTTCCAGCAACCACCATCATTGATGCCCCCTCCAGGATGACCAACATAAACACCTCATCTCTATGTATGCGGGACATTCCATTCGGGCCATAACACTGTCGCTCACCACTGTTTACCGGCCGTTTTCCGGCGGGGTTATTCTGCAAAAATGCGAGCGAGGCTTTGATGTGTGAATTGAATGATCAGCAGCATCTCGATTTGCTCATCCCGTTCCAAGGTGTTATAGTGTCGCTGGCAACTATTGCCACAAAGCGAACAACACGCTGAGGCACCTACGCACCTGTGCAGTAGTTATGTCTTGGAAGAAAGTCTTTAACTGCAGGAGAAGTCGGTTGAGAAAGTATCGAGTGTGCGAGTCTTGACGACGGAAAGAAGTCTTGAGAAAGCCACAGAGCAGGTAGCCGGCGTGACATCTGCAGGTACCTATGCAAGCAAAGCGCCTGCTTCCCCGCCTACTATGCAGGGGCCCTGGGTAGTAGGCGCCGGGGCTGATTCTGGCTGCATTCCTGGACCTTAATTCTGCAAACAACATATCTTCTCATTGATCATTCCGGCAAAAGAAAACCTCACAACTTCTAAGGCTTTGTTGAGAAACTTCTGGCATTGCAGTCTCAGTGTGCGAATACCAGTGGAGCAGCATCGGCGCCCGGGAGGGCAGCCATCACCGGAGCATTGCCTCCTGGTCATACAAAGCTATCATACAAAGCTATCAATAATACTACCCGCAAAACACAGGACTTTCTCTCTATGACAGAGCCATTGGGATGGGTCCCAACACTTGTTGTCATCCCTTCTAATGGCAACTGCTCACACTCAGCCGAAGTGGATGAGCATCTCCAACTGGAAAACCCGACATAAAGCCAATGAACACGAGAGCCGAATGGACTTTGGCATCTCTTGATGCACAGCTGGCGCCTCTGAGAGACATCTGGCAGCACCTGGTAACGTATCACGTTCCTTGGTCAAAGTCCTAGATTCAAGAGCCCAATCTGGTTCACCGAACGTCGTCAGACGGGTAAAAGTGGGACGGGGAACTAGGCATCTTCACGTTGTCATCATACCGACAGATAATCACCTTAATTGACTTACGTTCTCGAAAGATGCCAACCAACGCTTGTCGCGGGCACGTATCGCCATGGCAGAATACAAGGCAATACTACCCATCAGCCCTCAAGGGTAAGAAGAGGAACGAAAGCACCGGCATCAATCACAAGGATTGAGCTGACATCCTTAGGTCCATCATCTCGGACTCCAGCGCGGCCCCCGAGCAAAAGCCAGTTGTCCGTGTCACTAAAGTGAAGCTATCGCGTACAAGCACACGCAAGGTACGCACCGGGTGCATCACCTGTAAGAAACGTCACATCAAATGTGACGAGTCCAAACCACATTGCGGCAACTGTCTGCAGACCCGCGGCCACTGTGAAGGCTATCTCCCGGATCAGAAGAAGAACAAAAAGTCCTCAGGGCCCGCAGAACTCTGTTGGGATTCTACCCAGGCCATCATCCCTCGAGTATCAGCAGTAGCAGTAGCATCGCCCACGGCGCAGACAAAACTGCACATCAACACGGTCGACTTCCGCGATGACCACAGCATGTCCTACTTCCAGGAGTTCGTCGGCCTGGTCCGAGGCCCCTGGATGAGAGCTGCCTCTACCGGTGATCTGTGGGAAGTCATGCTGCCCCAGCTGTCCCGCAACAATGGCACTCTCCGCTCCGCCGCCATGGCCATCGGCGCCTTGAGCGTGTGGTACCGCCAGTCCGCCCATATCTCCCTCCATGCCATCACCGTACCCGACCAGCCAACCGCCCAAGGAGACATCCATTACTTCCAGGCTGTAGCCCACTACTGCGACTCTCTCAAGATGCAGTGTAGACGGGCCTCCGCCCAGGACGCCGTCTTTCTATCTGTCCTCCTCCTCTTCTTCGAGACTCTCAGGGGCAACAGGAAAGCCGCCCTCGACCACGTCAACCACGCTCTGTCCCTTCTCCTCGCCATCGTGACGGACACAGATGCCCACCATCGCCTAGCCGACCTAGCGCCTAATCCGATGCCCGTCATCAGCGCCGTGGCAGATGTTTTCAATCACCTGGCAAAGCAGGCACGCACCGTCTTCAGGGGTCGTATCCTCGATGGTCCGCCCCTGCCAAACCTCGCAAAGCGCCTGCAGAGTACAAATCAAACAATGGAGACCTTCATGATGCTCCTCAATCAGACGCAGAGCGAAGCCGCCAATTCACCAGAATCGTATCCTGACTCTTTCGGTACTCTCGAACAGTTCGAGCAGATCTGGCCCGCCATCCGACGTCACCAGGCCGCCATGGGCGCCGTCATGGAGGATACATTCAAAAAGTCTGGCCTCAGCAGCGCAGACGACGACGTCTCCATCACCAAACTCCACCTCGAGCTCTTTGGGAACCCTCGCATTCTCAGCTTCTGCGAAAACTTCCACAAGTCCATGGTCAAGCTCAACGTGGGCTTCCAACCCCTCTTCAACCAAATCATGCAAGCCGACATCGGATCCCCGACCTACCTCCGCGCCATCCTCCTGCGCATCGAGTTCATGGGCGTCTACATCTTCAGCAACGTGCCCTCCTTTATCGAGGACGCGAGCGCCCGCGCCCTGACGCCGCTGTACCGCGAGTACATCTCCCTCGCGCACATCGCCACGAGGGCCGCCAAGAAGGAGTTCGAGACGAACCCGGCTCACCACCTCTCTCTGCAGTGCAGTCTGAGCTGGTGCCTCCTCATCATCTCCCTCTTCTGCCGCGACCCCCTCGTGCGCAACGAGGCCATGTGGATCTTGAAGGAGTACCCGGGCCAGGACGGCATATGGAGCATCCGCGCTCTGTACGCCCTGGCTCTGCGGAACCGTCACGTCGAGCGGGTGAACGCCGTCGGCACGCCCGACGAACAGTGGCGCCGGCTGTGGCGCCGCGAGTTCGTTTTCGAGGACAGCGGCGACCGGGTTGTGCTGCGGTACATGGAGAGAGATGAGGTGACCGAAAAGTGGCAGCTGGTGGAAGAGGCAGCCGATATTCCGCGAGATGGCGGGGAGGCACAGTGGAAGCGGCAGCCCCTCACTATACATAGCGGACTGCTCATCTTGGACCTGTTTAACGCCGTGGCTCAGGGTGACATGGACACGAGGTTACCGATTGGCAGGCCGTGCTGAGAGACTGCAAGAGAGAGAGAGGCATGTTTCTAGATGCGATTCAAAGTGACGTCTCTAAATATGCTAGTTTGATACCCCCGACAATGAATCTGAAAAAAAAACGCAGTACATTTCCAACAACGCTGTCTGTTTGATGAGGATGATGTGAAACTTCTACTTATACACTTCGTTGACTTTCAACTACAACATTCTTCCACTCTTCCTCCCGTCAAGGACTGAAAATTACTGGTCGAGTGCCTGACTTTGACACTGTTACGAACCATGTTAGCAAAGCACGATCATTAAAGTTAGGCGGAACCAAAAGAAGCGCAACTTACCATTTCCCAGTACACGCCCTGTTTCCGAATAAGCTCGCCATGGCTTCCCTTCTCCACCACCCGCCCCTCGCTAAACACGAAAATCACGTCTGCGTTTTGAATCGTCGACAGCCGGTGCGCCACGGCGACGACGGTGCGGCCGTCGCGCGCCCTCTCGAAAGCCGCCTGCACAATCTTCTCCGACTCGGAGTCGAGCGCCGACGTGGCCTCGTCCAACAACAAAAGCTTCGGCTCGCGGATGAGGGCGCGCGCGATGGCGATGCGCTGCTTCTGGCCACCCGACATGGAGACGCCCTTGGCGCCGACGTCGGTGTCATACCCTTCGGGCAGCGAGATGATGAAGTCGTGGATGAAGGCGTCGATGCAGACCTCGTGGATCCTCTCGTCCGATATGCTGCTGGGGTCGTCGATGCCGAAGAGGATGTTGTCCCGGACCG